CATTTGTTTTTACTAGCTTTTATCGACTACTTTCACCCGAACAGTTGTTTGTTTAATCATACTGTTTTTCATTATTCGTGTTATCACAGATTGCCTCACTTTTTCATCCTTATTATTGATAAGACTATTTTTATTATTACTAGTATTATTATTATTATCATTACTACTATTATGACTAATTGCACAATTTATATTCACCATCTTATTATCCTATAGACAAAACACCATGATTGGTTTATATTTGAATTTTTATTTGTCAACTTATATATATTAGAGTTAAGCCTGATGAGATCTAATTGAAGACAATATTGTTCGCTTAAATATGTTGTTCTAAATAGTTCAATATCTTTAGGGAGGTCCCAACATATGCGCTCTTATTCCACCCTGACAGTGAACATAGCGCTAGGCTACATGTTCACGTCATGCGACGATCCAGTGATGCGCCTGCTGTTCGCATCTTGGAATTTATAAACAAAACAACGGGATCTGACTTTCGTTCGGAAAAGCCTTCACTACACATTTGGGTTTTGTAACATCCAACATGCTGATCCTCAGATATCGCGCCAAGTATTCGCACTAAGAACTGCCAACATTTTGGTTCAATATAACCACCAATCATCAACGGGAAGTAAAAAATTATACTAAAACAAAAAGCATAGGTAATAGTAAAGAACAGACACCATAGCCAAGTGATGACCCTGAACCAACCAATCAGATCGCTCAGCATTCCAAATGGATGCTTTTCACATAATCTTTGTTGTAAGTTTCACTCTGACCCTAATCAAAGCCTTAACTCTGAATCAGGAATGCTGAGCAACCTGATTGGCTGGTTCAAGGCCATTTGGCCGTGGTGTCTATTCTTTACTGTTGCCCAAATCATAATTGATACCTGTCACACAGCGGGTGTGTGACTGTTATGGACCAAGTGCATAATGCTTTGGCATTTTAAAGGATGGATGCTAGGTTCGAGACTCAGCGGGAATACAAGTGCATCTCTAGCTGATGAGTCCCAAGAAAAGAGCCAAATAAACATCCTCAACTCAAGTACTAGTCACCATACACCAAAATAACAAGACTCTATTAATTAATTTACAAGACATTTGCACTTTATTATCACACATAGTTAGTTATCAATTTATTACAATGTACACTGAAATAAAGGAATGAATATAATACACAAAAAATTGTATATTCTTTAGAAAAGAAGTTAATCTATCTGGTATCATACACACACGTACTGTCTGTATCTGCTGCTCTGTGGATTTTGATATACAAAAAGAGAAGAAATTCACCGAAAGACACGTAAACGTTAAAGTGAACTAAAAACGGGGAGAAAATATCCAAACAATTTTTATTTGTTTATTCACAGAAGTGCTGTAAATACACTAGACGATCGATGACGTTTTAAACTTGGAGGACTTAACAAAGCTGAATGCGGTTTAATCATGTCCATTGAACGTTTATGCTGAAATTGAAGATAAGGAAGAAAAACAATGCAATAATTAATATTTATATTTTATTTTATTCCTTTACGTTCCCAGTGGAACAAAAGGCTTCAAAGCTAGAGGTCTAAAGTTTCGGTAGCAGTAGCGTTTATTTTTACGGGATGGGATTGCTAACCTCATGCCCAACCTTCCCTCTTTACCAGTCTTATTACTCTTATTCCATCAATTGCCCACAAGTTGTAATTTCTTCTCTACATGATCTGCTCTATGCCACTCTAGGACACTTAACCCATCACTTGCCGCTCGGGTTCCACTCGAAGGTCTTTTCAGCAAGTGTTCAGTCAATTTTCATTTCCTTGTGCAATAGTTTCTGCATAAATGATCAAACTTTAATGATAATCATTTACAGCCGTATAGTAAAACAAAGCGCGCTATATTGGCTGATATGCCTAGAGATTGATAAGAATTCATAATAAGGAAAGGAAATAAATCAAGCCTATGAAGTACAATTTGGTTTCAAATACCAGAGAGGAACAGTCAATTTCGATGTCGAAGGACATCGACAGGAGGCTAGGTTTCACATGTTAATTATCATACATTAACACAAAATGTATCTAAAACTTCAAGGAGATTGATTGATGTCCCACGAGAAATTCAGATCTATGTCAATCAATTATACAATCAAGAAGTTTACCGTCAAACTATTCAAACTGCGATTGACATACTGTTGGACAGTGCCGCATATATAGTGAAGTGACCAATGAGAAGTGTATGTACGACAATTATTTATCAACTACTTTATGAGACACACGATGTTGTCAATGTATCCTACACTTAAATAGAAGTACGAACTTATTGTCATTATTTATTAGTGTTCCCTTGGGTTCCTAGTGGAACATAGGGCTTCAACTGCACGTCTCCACTTGCTTCTGTCTTCTGCTGTACTTTTCACTTGCATCCATATTAGTCCATACTGTTTCAACTCCTTTGCACACCATCTCCTCCATATCACCCTTGCACTGACGTCCCACTCGCCGCTTCCCTTTCGGGTTCCATTCGAGCACTGGCCTGACGCGCGATGTCACCTAACGGCCTCCTCAGCGAGTGAGTGTCCAATCCATCTCCACTTTCTCTTGCATATTTGTTGGGTGATTGGTTCTTGTTTTGTTTGTTTCCATAGTTTCTTGTTGGTGATTCTTTCCGGCCATCTGATCTTGAGTATAGAGCCAGCGAAGACAGTTAGTTGTTGATAAAGGTCTGCAACAGGCTGTTGGAAATATTCTTTGTGACCCGCCGTTAAGTTTCTGATCCATCCGTATAGAAGAACTGACTGACTAGACGTTTCTATTGAGAATCCGAATTTTGTTGTTGATGTTGAAGAGTGACAGTGGAAGATTTTTAGATTGGTTTCAGGTTGATGAATGTGTTTCTCACCTTCCCGATTCTCGATTTGATATCCTCGTCCGTGTGGTATTATTATAATAATAATAATAATCTTTCTCTTGGGTTGCGAGTGGAACACAGGGCTTCAGCAGCACATCGCCATTTCACCATGCCCTTTGCAGTCTTTTTTAATCGCTTCAAATTCGCCTGAAAGCTTTCATTTCCTCCAAATATTATCTCTTTCATATCACTCTTGGATGCATAGCTCATCGGTTTTTACTCGGGTTTCGCTTGGTTGACTTAGAGCGCGATGTCACCCAACAGCCTCTTCAGTGTTTGTGCAATCCACCTCCATTTTCTTTCGAATATTTGGTGGGCCATAGCTTCGCGGTTGATTCGTTGCCAGAGTGTTTTGTTGCCTATTCTTTCTGATAATGTGATCTTCAGTATGGAGCCTTTTCGTAACACGCCAAGTCTCTGAACCATGTAGATATGTACTGACTGACTTGACCACTGGTGTTGAAAACGTAAATCTTGTTTCTTGTAATTAGTGTAGTGAATTTTCACAGCGATTTTAGAGTAGCGAAGGTCCATCTTGCTTTTCCTATCCTGTATTTGACATCCCCATCGATGCCAAACGTAATTCAAGGGATGTATTGCCTATATAAGTGAAAGAGGTGACTTCTTTTACATTTATCCCGCTGGTGGTGATTGATGCTCATTGTTGGTGAGGTATCTTCATCTCCTTCGTCTTTTCTATGTGCACTTGAAGTTCTGCCTCCGCTGCCTTCCTCTTCTGGCAACCTGTTGGTTTACGTCTGTAAATCTCTGAGTTTGTGTGACACTAAATCCAGAACAAGCTGGATTCAGGAAAGGCAAATCATGTTCTGACCAAATTGCAACTCTACGCATCATCATCACAGAACAAAGCATGGAATGGCAATCAAACCTCTACCTCAACTTCCTTCATACACTTTGAGAAGGCCTTTGACACCGTTGACCGCGAAGTAATTTGGAAACTACTCGAGTACTACGGCGTACCCCAAATATTCATCAACCTTAATCAACAGCTGTACGACAACGGCACATGTCAAGTGATCCACAACGGAAAACTCAGTAAGGCGTTTGGAGTAAACACAGGAGTCAGACAAGGGTGCTTATTATCACCAATGATATTCCTAATTGTGGTGGACTGGATTATGCATCAGACAGTGGGAAACGAGAAGACAGGGATATCCTGGACCGACGTGAAGAACCTAGAAGACCTGGATTTCGTGTGTAGATGATTTATGTTTGATTTCACACAAAATCGAAGACTTACAAGTGAAAACCGACAAACTGGTCGAAGAAGCAGCCAGAGAAGACAGGACTCCAGGTGAACATAGACAAGACGGAGGTTATGAAAATAACCAACCAACAACAACAACAACAGCGGCAGCAACATCCAGCGCTAATCACCATCAACAGGAGGGATTTGGAAGAGGTTACTTCTCTCACTTATCTAGGGAGCATTGTCTCAACTGCAGGAGGAACGGACGAGGATGTGAAATTGAGAATCGAGAAGGCGAGAAACACATTCATCAACCTGATACCAACCTGGAAATCTTCCGCTGTCACTCAACTCAACATCAACAACAAAATCCTGATTTCCAAAACAAACATCAAGTCAGTTCTTCTATACGGATGGATCAGAAACTTAACGGCGAGTCACAAAGAATGAGTATTTCCAACAGCCTGTTGCAGACCTTTATCAACAACTAACTGTCTTCGCTGGCTCTTTACTCAAGATCAGATGGCCGGAAAGAATCACCAACAAGAAACTATGGGAACAAACAAAACAAGATGGATTGGACACTCGCTGAGGAGGCCGCTGGGTGACATCGCGCGTCAGGCCATAGCTCGAGTGGAACCCGAAAGGGAAGCGGCGAGTGGGACATCAGTGCAAAGGTGACGTGGAGGAGATGGTGTGAAGAGGAGTTGAAACAGTATGGACTAATATGGATGCAAGTGAAAAGTACAGCAGAAGACAGAAGCAAGTGGAGACGTGCAGTTGAAGCCCTATGTTCCACTAGGAACCCAAGGAAACAATAATAATGATAAATGTAAATCATCCGTGAAGTCCAAGTCATCCATTGTCTTCTCATCGGTACAACGTATGCTCATCACCCTTCGTGTTAACTAACTACTTCCCGTTGAAACCAGGAAATATGCAAACAAAGACTATCAGCATTACATAGTATATATATATATATATATATAAAGATAAAAACACCACACAATGCTGACTTACCTTCATAGTAGTATTCTTAGAAGATCCTTGAACAGCTGATTGATTGCTTCCACTATCAACATTATTATCAAATGATGGATCACTTTTCTCTGATTTTACATTTGGTGTAACAACACTGAAACACGACAGACCAACTTTATTGCGTAAACCTAATAAGTGTGCATGATTACCACGACGGTTATTCTGATTATTGTTACTGTTATTATTATTATTAGTAGTAGTATTACTATTTGTTGGTGGATCAGTATCAAAATCTTCAGTGAAACTTGAAGCCTTTTTAGGCAATTCAGATTTGAAACCTGGAAGAAAACTTCCAGTAGGACGACTCAATAAAGAGCCACGCTAAAAGAAGGAGAAGAAGTAGAAACAAAAATAGCATATAAGTAAAATTTAGTTAAAATAGTATATAAGTGAGCAGGTTAGGCGAATCAATATGTAAATGTTTTTGACAATAAGAAATATTGAAATAATAGAGAAGATTTGTAGCTCAGGTGGATGATTTGTAATTATTAGTGCTCTCTGAGCTGGTTGGTATAGTTGCGGAGCTTTCGTTGTTCTTCTGGACAACATCTTCAGTGCAATTTTCAGCATAAAGTGAAATGATTTAAATTTCTTCATGAGTGATATAATTGCGTCCGTCTCTCGGTAACCGTCTTTACATATGTATTGACCATTTTCTATTGACTTGGATTTTAAGCTTTCTGGTCACCTGATTTACTTTTTATTAGTTGGTATATTTCGTCTATTTTAACCTGTTTGTTAATTACATTTTCGTTTGAGTATCAGGCTTCTAGGAATTCCATGACTGCACTTTTGGTGTTTCCTCTGTCTAAGATTTTGACATTATCCCAATCAAATTGATGACCACAATTGTCTATATGCATTGATACTAAAGAATACATATCGTGTCTTTTCACGACTGATTTGTGTTCTTGGATTCTAATTCGAAGGGGGCGCCCACTTTTGCCGATGTAATGCTTGTTGCAGTTCATACAATTTATTTTGTAAATTGTATTAATTTTATCTCCTTTTTCTGTTGAATGTGTCTTTCGGTTTGCATAATATCGAATTAAGCGATTTGACTGGCTTGTGTGCTCCGCAACTAAACCAACCAGCTCAGAGAACACTATTAATTGCAAATGAGAAATATTCTCAACTGACCATTCGTGCACATCTTTAGTTTTGCACTTAACTTTCAGTCATCCCTTTCCAGGTTCACATTCCATTCTGCTTGCTTCACAACCTGGGCTACTATGTAGTATCATTGATTGTGATTCATAGTTTGGTATATAAAAAACCCGGTTCCGGATGAACTGAATTCTAACTGATTATTATGATCTGATGGATAAATCAATACAGGAGAACAGTCTCAGGATCCAAATAGTCTTATAATATTTTATGACATCCTGTTTACATCACTAGTCCGATAGGTATGCGTGTATAGTGAGGGGAGGGGACCAATACAACAGACTATATCTCAGGCAGTAGTAGCTAGGAATAAACTACAATTTTATCCTTTCCTCTCTTTCTGAAATTAAAATGAACTGGTGGACGTTGTTGCAGTGGTCTTGATAGATACGTCTATACGTTTTCACGATGTTTTTTCTTGAATTATTCTATTTCTTTAAATAATAATAATCTATTTTATTCCAAAAACAGTATTTATAATACAGAATGGAATTCTCAGCATTTGTCACAATATTGCATCTAATTTACTCACAATATAAATAAAATTAACTATAGGAATTTGTCCATCTTTACAGTAGGAATAAAGTCGAAAATGTGTAGAGTACAAAATGAGAATAATAACTCTAATAATAATAATAATAACAGTAGGTTTGTTTCAAATAATATAATGTCAATACACTTTGGAAATTTAAGCATGTTACAGATTATTGAATATAATGTTGCCTTGATACAGCGTAGTGAAGGGAAAACAAAAAAAAATAACAGTTGTTACAGAGCTTTAATGATGTTTACACTTATGAGAATAAAAACATAGAAAAATTGAGAGGATTATAAATATAAGAAGAATAGTAACAGTAAAGCTTGGTGGAATAAAGGATGGAGAAAATGGTTTATTTACTAGTACAAAGAAGATTAGTTAGTTCGTCCCGGACACTATTTTCATCAAATAAAATACGTGCCAAATATGGTATAGAGGAATTTTTATACTTAGACGTACGTGCATAAAGTCCTTTGAAATGACTTCTTGTTTTACCTGAGGAGACACAAGGTTGGAGCTGTGGGTAAAATGGATGCTCACAGTCGGACAAAATTCTTTTAGCGAATTTGTTACATGAAATCAAGTACCTATTAATGATGACGTCAACGATATGCCCCAATGCGATACCACTCGCCCTCCTGACAGTCTTCATAGTTCAACGAAGTATGATATAGTCTTTTTTAAGCAATCCAGGAAAGAATAAGGGTAAAAAGTAAAGAAGAATAGGTAAGATGCACGAGTTGACAAAAACTGTAAGAAGAGGAGTTGAGTTATGCCTGAGTGCCTTAACTTCTTCTTATAAAAAGACGGAATATTTTTTTAGAAATCGCTACGACATGGGAAGACCAGGATACATCAGAAGAAAGAATTAGTCCAAGATACTTAACGTCAGACTTGATTTCTATATCACTGTCATCAATTTTACGACAGTCGTAGGAATTAACAGCTTCATTCAACTTTCTTTTACATCGGAAAATGAAATTAACATTCTGACATTTGGAAGGATTCATTTTAAGATCACTAAACAAAGACCGTTTGCTGACTCTTGATAGAAAGCTGTTCATCTTAGTACAGGCATTGATAAAGTTAGATCGTCCGCATACTTAGTTCATTTCATCAGAGTGAGGCAAGTCATGCAAGGACAGTGCCTTAAGGGACGCCAGTCTCAGTAAGCAGTGAAGAGAACGACTTCCGCTGAAATACAGTGTGTACTGCTTTCTTCCTGAGAAATAAGACTGCAGCCAGTTGACAACCCAACACACACAGTTTGAGTTTCAGCGAGGTTATTTAACAAAATATCCCTACGTACTGAGTTAAAAGCAGATGTGTGTAACTAGGAAGGCGCAGAGGACAAATTTAGCCCCTTTATCTAAATTAGAGACAATGTTATGATAATGTTATAATATATTTTGTTTTGTTTAAGTGTGGCACATCTTTTGGTGGCATCCGTATGCTTAAATAATTATAGTAATAATAAACGGTGGGTAAAGTAAATGAACAAGAACAGTTTCTCATATCAATTTTATAATAACTGATTAAAAATGCCCATTAAAATTTTCAAAAAAATAGACACGGAACAAAGAGTACTCTTTTCGATAAATTCATCATCAGGTTCTACAATTATATATACATTATAATGAATGAATGAATTAGTCTTATGAACAACATTAATGTTGCTGTTTAAATAACATCGAATCAATAATATTGATAGATTACAGCTGAACAGCATCAACATAAAATAAGCTGAATGTCAGAAGAATTAGGAAAGGTAATAGTACAAATTCATGAGTTTATAGTCTCTACTGAGGGCCAGGACAGTAGTAGGGGCTGGACTTGTTTCTTTTGGACACAGAGCACTGGTTGTTTGAGGCGAATTGCAATAGCCTCTGCTGTTTGGAGCATGCGGTGCTTCGACGATTTTGGTAGTTTGTTAGGCACCCGGTAGATGATAGAGAAGGATTCTTCTACGTTGGCTTTGTGACCGGTTTGCACTAGATGGTCCAATATCGAGCTGTTAATAGTTTTAACTACACCTTTACTTAGCCATAGTGGGATATGTTCTCGAGTGAGCACGAAAAATCAAGTTCCTAGAGCAACGACCAACATAACTCGCTCCACAAGCGCAGTTGAATTGATAGATACAATTTGAAGTGACCAACTAGTCTTGGTACTTCATCTTTCAGTCGAGGTAGCACCATCGGTCGTGTAGAGAATAAGACGTGTAGTTCGCCAGCATTAAAAGTTCTTTGAACTGATTTTCTTAATTTCTTCGTAATTATCTCACTTGGTATATCGCCCATGAATTGTAGTCGTATATAAAGAGGCTTCTTGTTTACAGATAGTAAGTAGTCCTTTTCGGCTTTCTTTGTCATATGTTTCTTGATAAATTTGTCAGGATAACCATTTTCGATCAAAGTATCATATACAATGCTTAATTCATCTTTAATTACTTCTTCAGAGCATATAGCTCTAACTCTGTGGCTAAGGGTCTTCACTAAATTCCTTTTGTAATTGATGGGAACGAAGCTGTGAAAGTGTGTATATTGTCCCGTCCAAGTACTTTTTCTATGTAAATTTCTTTTTATGCTACCGTCTGGTTTTCTTGTAAGTAGGACATCCAGGAAGGCAATTCTGTCTTGGGATTCCTCTTCGCATGTGAATTTCGTAGCCGAATGTACTTCATTGAATTCAGTAATTATTGTTTTTATACTTTTTTTATAAAATCTGTATGAAAACACAGTGTTATTGATAAACTGTAGTAGAGTGATAATAAAATAAGGATAATGAGAATAATAATAATAATAGTAAACTTACATAATAAAAGGAAGCAAAATTTTATAGTGAGAACGTTCCTCTGGCCACTGTAGGGCGAGGGAATGTATGTAGTGCTTTTGTGAATGCAGATCCCGAATAGCCAATGATTCAGCTATGTACAGATGGTGTATGTGAAGTCCTTTCGTACGATATTGAAGGACTCTGTGTAGCACTGTGAAGCATTCATCCGGAGGTGCTCGATGTTTAGAGTTGACAAGGTGTTCGAGGATGGATTGAGCTGCTAGTATTCTTCTTTTCTCCTCTGTCTAGCCAAGCTGGACAGTGTTCCAGAATAGGTTTGTGGACTTGACGTTGCAACGTACGGCCGATATACTTGGCTCCACACGAACAAGTAAACTGATGAATACACATTGAGGTGGTCAGTAGCGGTATCTTATCCTTAAGAACGTTAGACTGGATAAATTCTCTGCTGGAGAATGTGATGTGTAAGGTGGCTGCTTGAAATATCTTCTTCAGTTCTCCACTAGTTCATTTCCACTCCACACAATTTTCTCATACTTATTACGTCATGCCAAGTTCTACCTCTTTTCTAATTTCCAATTAGTCACCCTTTTCCAGATGACTACACCTTACACTACGGAATACGTTTTCGAGGACAAATTTTAACCAGTTTCTGATTGGTCTTGTGATTTTTTCTTTGTTAAATATAATTACGATTGTACACCAGCTTATGAAAATGAGTCGTCGACAAGAAAATTTACTAATCTGTTTACGTCTTTTTCTCATGACTAAATGACCTAGGCTAATTATATTAATAATGTTGAGTGAGTGAAAAAATGCA